TACAAAACAAAGTCCCTCTGCATTTTATGCACACACCTCCTCTGAATGCTCACTTGCATCAGCCAGAGGAATATCCTCCCATTACAGCACTGTTTCCAGAAGTCCATATAATGTTTTAGTCCTGCTCACCTATCTGACCTTTCATCACTGACTTCTCAAAGTTTTTAATTTCCTTAGCCATATCCCTCAGAAATTTCCCATGCCATCCAAGCAATACATTCTTTATTGAAACTTGTGTGATTTAATATTTTCCTGGCACAATAATTCCAAAACATGGGGGAGGAAAAATGGAGAAGGATTTTTCCAGCTCCAGGTGTTTATTTTACTGCCTGAATCCTTGCTCTTGACCCTTTTGAGTGGCTTTTTCTTGAACTGCATTTCAGCTGCTTGTCTGAGACAGACCTTCATCCTTGCAGCTGAAGGTGGAGGCGTGGAAGCTCATTTTTAGGAGTCTGATGTACCTGCTCTAGCATTTCTAGCTTTGAATTTCTGGAGCTGTTTTCTTTTCCACAATCTCCATAAGCTAAACAAACACTCTTTTCAATGGCCTGCTTTACTAATCAGTGTTTGAGATGCAATATTGAGGCCTTTACTCCCCACTCGAGCCAACGTGCAGCGTGCTGGGTTTGCCATGGCAGCCTGCCAGGAGCCTGAGGGCTTCACCTGTGCCCAGGAGAGGTAAGACAAAGAGCACAACCACAGCAGCTCCTCTGGGGGACACAGCAGCACATTGCTGGCTCCCAGGTATCACTGGACACCAGCAGCTACTGGCAATGACTGAGCAGTGGGGTCTGGGTGCATTAGAAGGAAAGAAGCTGGAGCCTTAATTCAAGAATGTACTTACGAAATAAATAGGTGCATATTTATGTTGAGCAGCACATTAAAACCATTAAGCTCCCTTATATATTTGCACTTGGGCACATGTAGATGCATTGCTGAGTCAGCCTGGCTGTGTTAATGACCTCAGCAGATCTCCAGGGAATGTCTCTGCTTTTCCAGGTGTCTCAAGTGTCAGGGTTATGAAGCCAATTCCTGTAAGAACAATTTTCACTTGGTATTTGAGAGAATCATTAATTCTGACTTACTCCTCCTTGCAGTGGTGCTAAATAATGGCATTTGAAAACATTTGAAGAGACATTTGTTAAGCCCCTACAACCTTGTTACTTACCTGCCCAAAAGTACATGAAATGAGCAGTCAGGAAGAGAACCTCGGACCAGTCTCGGCTGCTCTGTTGTTCCATTGCTCAGTCATCTGTGGGCCACACAGTATAACATAATGTAGATTTATTTTAACTCTCATCAACTGCTCTGCTGTTTTAGTACCTCTGCCTGGAGTACGGAGTGACTGGAAGATTGCCAAGTCAAGGGAAGTCTGTGTGTGAACAGCCGGGAGGGATAATACGTAAATCTGGTGGAAAGAGGCAATTAAAGGCAGTGCTGAGATAGAATGAAAAATAGACAATATTGAGCTTCATCAGAAATAGCAACATAAACAGCCACTTACTGTACAGTGGAGGGAACTTTGCTGTAAATAACTGCATTTTACAGAAAACAGATGGATTATGAAATCTGTGAGCAGACTTACAGAAAGCAGTTTGGTCTTCAGGAACATGTCCGTGTTGATGTCTGGCAGGTCCTCCTGGCACAAGGGGACAAAGGGTGGCTTCTCCCTGCTGTTGTATTTACAGAATCCAGAGGGGAGCTGCAAAGTTGGATTGCACACAAGCCAAACAGAGCTGAAAATAATTCTGCAAGTCATATGTAACTATGAATGGAGATGACAGAGGAAGTGACATCTGAGATCAGCAGTGTAATAAATGGTACCCTGTTGCTCTGTAACCCAGGAGGTGACACACAGTGAACACATCTGACTGTCCAGAGGGACCGTGTCTGTAGCTTACCAGGATCTTGGTACCACCAGCAAATCTAACTGCATCATCTTTTGACACGAGTGGGTGGACTGGGAAGGGACAGACCATTCCGAAATGTTTAACTCGATATTACAAATGAGGATAGGTTCCAGCTGGGTTTTAATCCTCTGGCCTGTATTTGACCGTTCTTGTTTTGGAATAATTGATCAAAAAGCTCAACAGTTTCCTGTATTCTACCATTTTTCCAGCTATTTCACTGGCTTTGTGAATGAGTACAATCAGACACAGCCCAGACATAGCAAATCAAGCTCCTGTTTGCAGACACAAACTTGGCAATATGCATTAACTGAACATAGTTCTTGCATCAGGCAACACATCATGTGCTGTCTCAGCCACATTCTGGGCTACAAGAGAAATATGCAGATGTTTAAGGATCTTTGGGAGGGCCCATGACAGTGCTTATTTCTTAACACTAAACTTATTTCTTTCAGTTCTTTAGTTCTCCTCTTCCAACATAACAGAAGAAACAAAAGAAGAGCTGCTCATTATGAGCATGTTTCAGTCTTCATGAAATGGATAGAACACACAAATATGAGTCACTTCTGATGTGCTGCAGCCAGAGCCCTGCTCCATCCAGAATTTTAAGCACTAGACCCTGGTTGAGTTGGAGCAAATGACTTGTAGAGAGCTAAGAGGGAAGAGGGAAAATTCCAACACTGGGGCTAGAAACTCACCCCTTTGGATGCAGAATGGCGTGGTGCAGGAAGGAGACAATTAAAAGCTACTGCAGGATAACCTCCATATATTCCTTTTGAAATTAGTACCTTATTAGATCACATTTTCCCCCGATGGGGACCAAAAATCTGCAAAGCAACATGACGACAACATGCTAAAGAAATGGTTTAGCTGGCACTTTGTCTGCTTCCCCTTTCCTTTTTGTGTTTGCTAAAGATCCTCTGCATATCTGGAACAGCACAGTTTGCCAAAAAATTGATGTAATTTTTTTTATGTTTCAGGGCATCCCTCAGGCCTTTAGAAAAGTAGAAAGTACCAAATATTCTTTAAACTGGGGAAGATCTTTCTAAAGAGAAAGGATTGTAAATTCCCTCTGGTGCTTGTTAAGGTCTCTGCACAGGAGGTTTTCTCCCTTTATTCGACACCCCTCACCTAAGGAGCATCTCTTAGACTGAAAGCCCTGGCTTAAAGGGCCATGGCTGTCTTCCTCTTGTGTCATCTAAACTCACTCTAGTGACAGGGTAGCAAAATGTTTACGGATTGCTTCTGCCAGCACTTAGCAGGAATTTTTTTTAAGGTAACTTAGTCATTTCATTATGAGGACTTTGAGCATGTGAGCCTGTGCTTGCCCACATTTTATTCCAGCTCAGCCATCTGGCTTGTGTTGTCAAAAATCTAAAAGGTAGCAAATGTGTGATTGTTGAACCTCTCTGGGAAACATCTTTGTGTTGTGCTTGTGTGTTGAAAATTCTAGTTAAGACTGAAGTTCAAGAAAAGCCAGTCAGTTACATTCAGGTTGTGTATGTCATTAAGAACCAAGAAATGCAGAGAACATCCATTAAACCTGCTCCAAAAATAATTCAAGACAGAGAAAGCCAAGAGTGAATAAGAAAATCAGGGTGACTTTTATCTTCAGCTTCCTGAAATCCTGCAAGCCGATAATAATAAAAAAAAAAAACAGGGCCTTTGTGTTACATAAAATAGCATTACATGGTCTAACAAAAACCTGGTTTGAAGGGGACAACATAGTTCAGGAAATAATGGTGTTTCCAGGACAGGATTTCTGAACCTATCTTTAAAGATAACACAGACAAAGGTACAGATTCATACAAAACCAGGAATTTGGGCATAAAGGAATGGAACAAAAATATTTCATGAACAATAAAACTAATTCAAGAAGGTGCAGACCTCGGTCAAAGACTTTTTTTTCCCCCCAGTTTGCACTGACTGCTTCATAGACTTTTCAGTAAGGGCTGAACTCGCACTTCAGCCATTCCTTCTAAATAAAAGTCTCTTCACTCTCTGGCTGCCCATTTTCATGAGAGTTGCTGGAATCCAGTATCTTGGAGCTTATTTTTCTCCATCACATACGGCTGATTTTGGCCACTGATCTCAAAACTTACTGTGGTGGGGAAAAGGAAACAAGGCAAACGAGAACAGTCATAAAGAGTTGTTTCCTTCTGGAGCTGGGGGAATTCATAGCCTATGAGTGCTTCTTGCCAGGATTAAGAGAAGGGGAAATATATTGTAAATGCCCTACAGAAAAGAAAAGGTCTGTTTACAATCTGCATGGTTTATCACTATACTCGAAAATGTAACGGGGTTTCTGCTTTTCTTGGCTTCATTCTCTTTCCTGGATAAGGTAATAATGTTAAGAAAAGGAACACTGAGGTTTTCCCTGTCGAGGGTCTATTTCAAAGGAAATAGCTAAAAGGCCCTAGCAGTCGATATATTCAGCATTTCCCAAATCACCCTGTTAATCTGCAATTAGCCAGCATTGGCTCATTCAGCCTTGCTGTAGGACAGAGGTGACAACCAGCAGACCCCTCCAGGTCCTTCCCAGCCCTTCCTCATGCTCGTTTTGTGCACACTGACTGGTTATGTTCCTAAGGGCTGTTCCTAAGGGCTGCTCAACAACTCGCACCATCTGGGCTAAGGTTTATTTCACTTGGTCTATTTGGAAGCATAGCTTGGTTTCTGCCATTCCAGACCTGGTGAAATCAGTGAGAGATGCACCCAGCATTGATATCAGCTACCTCATCCCTTGCCACTGGTTACATTTTCAAAGAGCACGTTCCCCCTCCATCCGCTTGACGAATGAGCTGCCAGAGGAAACACCCTGGAGGAATTCAGCTTCTCAAAGGTTGTTGCAGCACAGGGCCCTGCTCCAGCTGTCAGGATTCTGAAGGCACGCGTTGACTCCCGTGCCCTTTATCCGGCTCTGCGTCACTCACCAGCGGATCTGTGTTTGTACAAGGCTGGTTGGAGGAGTTGCAATTTCAGCTGAGAAACCGCCGTGTAAGGAACTCGGCACCTGCTGCAAAGCCTGGAGAGCAGCAGCGTCCGGGGAAGAGCAAAGGACTCCAGGAATGCACAGAGAGCATTGAATGCACAGAAATGGCTCCTTCCAATGGAAATGCTTCAGGGAGGCCAGACAGGCATATTGTTTGGCAGCTACAAGTAAATCATGTATCATCATGGCATTCTCTGTGGGGAACCTAAAGACCCCCAGCCTGCACTGCTACTGCCTCTAGACACTTCTGCTCCTTTTGACATTAATACCATCAGAATCTGCTGATGGAGATGATGGGGATGATCATCTCCAGCAGAGCTTTCATGTACAGGGACTACAGGATGGGGCTTCACATACTGAACTAAATTCATAAAGTGACCTTTATCAAGAACATGTCAGGAGTTAAATCCACCTGAACAGGGGATTGCCTTTAAATTCTAAGCATGTACAATGCCATTCTCCTTTCAAAGAATGAACTAGAGGGAATTTAAACATTAAACAATTATGTATTAAACAACTCTGCAACATAATCTTTACATTTCAAATAATTTCTTCAAAAACATTACCATTTTTACCAGTCTGCTCTCAGGAGCTCGTGCAATGACTTACACAAACCACAGAAGAAACTCATCCAGAGCCTCAGAGTACTCTGTATGACCCAGAGTTATGCATTCAGCAAGAACAGATGGAAAAGGAGAATTGAATTCCAGGCAAAAAGAGTATTATTTGAATGGAACTTTGCACTAAAATGGAGAATGACTGCAGGACACGCACAGGGAGTCAGCTCTGGATGGGAGATGGTGAGAGGAGACTCAGCAGTGAGGAGCCTGTTGGAAGGAGAGAGAAGAGACAGAGGGGAGGAAAGGGGAGGGCTCCACCGTCTCCAGGAGACAAGCTGGAAAGAAGTCCAAGGAGTGAGGGTGTGGTTTGAAAAACAAGGAGTACAATTTCAAACTGGATTCTGAGGCAAACAGTCAGCGAGGGCCTCGAGATCCATGAAATACCAATTTTCTCCCTAAGAGACCGAATCAGAACTTCAGGAGCTGTTGTGGCGCTCTGTCGTTGCTGCACCCCAACATCTTGGTGCGAGTGCTGATACAGCTTTCCCGAGGTTTGCATTTATCTGTTAAGCAAAACATTGACACTGGCGGCGCCAGGCAGCGTTCAGCTGGAACAGATGTGCATCAACACCCTGCCTTCAGTGCTCACAGGGAGCAGCTCTCCAGCAGTTTCCACGGTCAGGCACGAGGACGAGCAAGTCCAGCAACAGACTCTGCATCCCTTGGAGCTGCACATGGTCCCACTTGGGCAGGTCTCCAGTGGACACTCTCTCATACAGACCAGAAGATGTGCCAGTGCCATTTGACTTCTTTGTATCAGAACAGCCAAGTGGCCAAAAGTTTGCAAAATGAGCACTCGTGCAGTTAAGCGGTGATTTGCACGGGTGTAGTTGAGCAAGAACTTCCTTGGATGATTCTGTGGGAGGAAGTCTAAGAACATGTACAATACATACAACATTTTTCCATGTAAATAACAGCCCCTCCAAGACAAAAATGCAGCTCTTCTCAGGGCTGTTTTCAAACACTGGGAAAAGAGCATCAGGCTGCCATCCATAGGATGAGACAGAAAACCAAATATTTGGACGAGAGCAACCTCTGAAAAAAATAGAGAAACATTTACCAGGAGCTTTTCCATTTGCTTTGTTGAAGGATTTCTAGGGATTACACTCTTCTCAGCTGCTGGGTGCTGTGGCTCTGCCTTGTATAAAGGAGCAGGAGAGTAACAGTCAGCTAATCAGAGGGGCACTAACACAATGAACCATTAGAAACCCTTTAGATTTCCTTTTAATAGACTATAGACTGTAGGAGAAATTCCTTAAATAAGGCCAGTAGTGCCTTCCCATTGAGAGATCCCAAACTAAATATAGAAACTAAGGTTAAAATACTCCATTAAAACATCCATGCTGACTGTGCAGAGGGCAGTTCCTCTTGCAGCGGAAGCTCAGCAGGCTGCAAAGTGGACAAAAGACGGCAAAATACTTTTCCAATTTTTTTTTGATTTGTGCCACAGTGTCCAACACTTTCAGCTCACTCTTCAGAGCTGGTCACGCTTGCAAAGAGTGTAACCCTGGAGATCAGCAAAGCAGGGTCCTATAAAGGACAGATATTTAAACACAGAGAGGTGTAAAGAAGGTACAAATGAGAAAGACAGCAGCAGCCACAAGTGTGGCAAAGCACTCTTACATAAAGGGAGAGGCTTTTTTTACTATGGATATTATGGGATGTTGTAATTAGGATTTGGCCAGCTGGGATTGGGCATGAAGGATTATATTATTAAAACTGGAGTAAAGAAATATAACAGACCTTTTAATTTTAATTATACTTTAAAAGAGCCTCGATTTCCTTGCCAGTGATCTCTCTAATTCATGTTAGCAGTTTGGTGCCAGACTACTAAGAGGGATTGCACACTACACAGTGACTTTTGTGCATTCTTAATGATAAAAATACGTCTCAGAGACAAATCTGTTGCCTCTTTCCTGTGTCACCATTTTCTTTAAAACATAAACAATATAAACATGTATATCGTATAACTATGTACATTACTTAAGAGGTCCTACTTTATTTGTGAAATCAATGATGAAAATCTGTGCCTTGTTTTTTTTTAAGACATAGTTAGCTATAAACTAAAGAGCAAAAATAGGAGCTCTGGATATAAATAATTGGCATCCATAAAGTGACTGTGAGGGAGGACAGCTGACAGAAGAAAACACAGAACAAGCTCACTATACCAACACGGGCTGGTGACAGATGATGTCCTGATGTCCCACTGATGGTCTGTCTCTGTAGCACTGACGACTTGCCCTCAAGTGGAAACTCATAACCCACCTTAATATAACTGCTACTAACAGACCTGCAGGGCAGATGCTACTCGATCCCCTTCTGACCACGTAAAGAAAAGTTGTCTCCACTTCAGCTCCAGTTTTTGCTTTGCTCTTTTGAGAGACCAGACCTTGGCACCTAACCCCAATCAGGAGTCTTGTGGGGACAGATACAGATCCCAGATTTCCTCAGGGATGGGGCTTTAGCAGCACCTCATCCCAGCCACCTGTTCAATGGGCTGTTCAGGGTTTCCTCTGTCCAGATGGAGACCTTCAGGTCTCCCAAATATGGCAAAGGGGTCCCCATGGCTGCAGCCTGTGATTGTGCATGCCAATAGAACCGAAGGTGTCTCAGCAGAGCCCTGCCTATGACTCCTTTGGAAACCTAACCCAGTTTTGGCAATTCCCATATCCATGTAGTAAAAATGAATGAGGTTACGTTAAAGTAATGAGGTTTTAAATTGTAATATATTTGAAACTGTTTTAATCTGCCTTCTGGTTTTGAGTCTTCAGGGGTCCCTTGTTCAGCTTTGCTTCACAACACTCAGCATGAGAAACTAATCTACAAAAAATTAAATTAGAGATTCTCCTGTAATCCTGTGTTTCCCCAAGCTGAGCTCTCTGGGAAAATGTGAACAACACAATGCTGTGGATAAAAGTGCTGGAGCTAGCAACACTGCACCATTTCCATCTCAAAGGATTACTGTAATTTAGGAGAAATATAATAGCTTTAATGTTACCTACACCTCATCTGATGCTAATGGGCTGACTAGGAGCGAGGGTGAAAGAAAAAGGTGTTGATGTACCTCTTGCATGTTGGACCCTTCACTTCTTGGTTATTCAGTAACTTCCAATTCACAATGTCAACTCTTGGGGGAAGGAGCCCCATTCCTATTTAGAAATCGCACAGGGCAAAACAGCAGCATGGTTTACCAAACATGTGGCCATAAAACCCCTCACATACCTCCGGGCGCGGCTGCGGGCAGCAAAGCCCGCATGGCTCCAGGGCAAGTCAAGGTGGGCCAAGGGCAGCTGTGCCGCCTGATCCCAGCGCCGGCCGAGCCCCTTGGGGGTCCCGGGGGCTCCCGAGGAGGAGAAGGAGGAGGAGAGCCGCGCTTTGGCACCGCCAGCCACGACGGCAGGTGCCGGGCAGGCGGCTCCCGTTCCCCAGTGCCCATCAAGGGCCAGCGCCGGGGGGGCAGCACATGGGTGTCCCCTGCCTCCCTCCTCACCCCGGCGAGAGCCCCGGGGCGCCGAGGGCAGGGACCATCGCCCCGGCACCGCCAAGCTGCTGTGGGGAAACTCCGGCGTCGGTGTGAGGGTGGGTCGGAGGCAGTCGCGGGGTCGGTGTGAGGGTGGGTCGGGGGACAGCCCCGGGGTCGGTGTGAGGGGAGCTCAGGGGGCAGCCCCGGGGGAACGGTGTGAGGGGAACTCGGGGGGCAGCCCCGGGAGTCGGTATGAGGGGAGCTCGGGGGGCAGTCCCGGGGTGGGTGTGAGGGTGGGTCGGGGACAGTCCCAGGGTCGGTGTGAGGGGAGCCCGGGACAGCGCCGGGGGTAGCCGGGGAGGGGTCCGGGTCACGTGAGCGTGTGTGGCAGCAGCGGAAGGATACCTGCACTGTTGAAACCCCTCCCGCCCCTGTCCGCTGGCCATAGCCGGGGAGGGGACCCCCCCTCTCCTGGGAGCGCCGTCTCCAGCCCATCCCCTCAGCGGGAGTGCAGGGACAGCGGGGCAGAGGAAGGGCTGGGGGTTGAGGGCGGGCGAGAGGCGGTGGCGATGGGCGGGGGAAAGAAGCGCGGCAGGGAGGGACTATTTGAGGAGACCCTGGCAGGCTGGCGAGATGCGGAGTGATCCCGGCGGCGAGTGAGCGGCCCCGCGCTGAGGCCGAGGAGGGCGGCGGGCGCGCCGGGCGCCATCCCAGCGAGGGCTCCGCGCCTGCGCCGCTCCCGCCGCCGTGAGGGGAGCACCGGCCCCCGCTCCGCTCCACCGCCCGCCCCTGCCCCGCGCCCCTGCCCCGGGCAGCTCGCCCCCAGCCATGGCCCAGATACTGCCCATTCGCTTCCAGGAGCATTTCCAGGTGAGCGCGGCGGGGCGGCGGCGGAGGCGAGGGGAAGGGGCTCCCCCTCCTCTACCTCACCCCGTCCCTCACAGGGTGGGGGGGGCCGCGGCCTAGGCGGGCCGGGGGCGCGCTGAGGGGCGGGGAGAGGGGGCCAGGCCGCAGGGGGAACCCTCTCCATCCCCTGGGACCCCCTCTGTGCTTTCTTTCCCTCCCTGCGGAGCGCGGCCGCCGTCCCGCTGGGCGCCGCGGGAAGGCGCGCGGGGCCGAGCCCGCCCCCGGTGCGGGCTCCGGGCTGCTTCGTCTGTCTGTCCGTCCGCCCGTCCATCCCTCCATCCATCCCCGGGGCTGCCTCTCCGCGCCGTGCGGAGCGGCCGCGATTTGTGCAGAGTCACTCGCCGCCTGAGGGACCTCCCGCTCCGGGGAGGGGGAGGCGCCGCGCCGGGGCCGCGCCGCTCGCCCCGGGGACCGCGGGCTTTCCCCCTCCCGACTCGGGGGGACGCCGCAGTCTTGCAGAGGCATCGCGGTTTTTCTCTTTTACCGTCACTCAGGATCGTGGAGGTTCTAGGGAACCTCTTTCTGGGCAGCTGCGATGAAATCGGTGAGATGAGGTGCAAGAAAGCATTTGGACTTGGAAGCTGAACAGCTTCTGTCCCTTCTTCCAAACATAACAATATTTTTAAAAAATCCTCCCCCAGAATAGCATAGTTGTCTTAATAGCCTGTGAAAACTCTAATGCCAGCTTTGGAAAAGATCCATGACTAATGGATGCAGCACAGAGAAACCGGTTTATCTGTTTCCTTGTGACCTGGTGGTGAGGGAGGGTTGTAAATGGAGTGAGAGAGCAGCGGTCTCTGAACATGCAGTTTGAGGCAGGAATTAAAGGAATTTGCTAAATGAATGAGAGAACAGGAAGTGGACTTGGCAAGTCATCCTTCTGTCGCTGTACCGCCCCTTTCTGTCAAATCAGGCATCCATTTCAAAATACAAACGGGGCATCATCCCCCTTTGAGGACTTGGTGCCTCTTCAGACATTTTAGCCTGGGAAATGGTTACGGCCACTTCCAGCTCCCTTTGGGAAGTGTTTTTTTGCTGAACTGGGAGAACTGTCCGGGTGACCCTAGAAGGAGCTCTAGCCTGAAAAACAGTAATTAGAGCTAGTGAATTCCAGAAATATCTAATCTCTGTGCCCAAGGGAGCAGACACACCTGTGTCCTCTGAGTTTTCTTGGGTTAGGAGAGTTTAACAGGGTGAAGAATTCTGTTGTCACTCCACCCCCTCCCTGCCTGTGTCCGCTATAGCAGTGATTGTAATAATCTCAGATAGGTTCCTAAGAGCTGCAGTTCTGTTGTCCTACATAAGAAACTTGGGGTCAAAGTGTTTCTGATGTCAGAGAGAAGCATATTCTTACGGTTTCAAACTAGCAAACGTTAACCAATTGCGCTGATTGTGTTTGGTCTATACAACAATGATGAGAGGACATCACACTTAATATGCAGGAGGTGTACTGTGCTGCTTTGCATGTTAAATGACTGTTTCTGCGATTACTGGTGGTGTGTGTCTTGCCACACTGCCAATATCAGCATTGTGGGACCTCAGTTTTGGGTGGGGGGCTCCCCACCTGCTTCTCGAGGGATCTGTACTGAAGTCATATTCTATTTTTTGCTACCACCTGCTTTTGCTCTTAAATAATTTGATCTTATTTAAAGGGCTGATTCTGTGCTTGAGTGACTTTTCCCCAGCGTGAAAGCTGCGTGGAGGAGCAGGGAAAACCTCGGGATGCCCATTGTTAACACGTAGGACCGAATTTCATCAGCATTCACTCTTTCCTGCTTCTCCCCCCAGGCAGAGTGCAGGAGCTCTAGAGCAATGCTGTGCTAAGGAGGAATTGAGATCAGGAGTAGCTGGCAGTAGGAATGCAGTCGGCCTCCTCAGTGCTGCTTCTGCAGTTGTCCCTACATGGTGGGATAAATAGGGAGGGAAAACGAAAGGAATGTGGGAACTCAGAGTGTTTGATCTGGCTGGATATCTGCAGTACAGTTTTATCAGCTCTAACTTGATATTAAGTGTTGTAAACATCTGGAGTCATGAATAAATTATACGTGCTGCTTCTTATTGACTGGTAGGGAACTTGTGAAAACATTAGGCCTTCCCTTCATAATTCTACACTATCACCCATATTTAGCTTTATCAGCTTAATCTCTTCCCCTCTCCCCACTATCCAAACAATTGGCCTGACTACAGTTAAATTATCATATTTAATATTAGTGTAGCAAATATCCTATGCTGCTTTATGATAAATCCAAAAAAGTTACAGTTCCTTGTAATTGTGCTGTTTCAGTGATCCTGAGTTGAATCTTTCCATACCTTAAGTCAATCTGTGTACTGTTTGTACCTGTAGCCTTTCTAATTAATTAATATGGCTTTAAGTGATTAGAAGTTTAGTTAGTGGTATAATTAATTCCAAACTCAGCCTGTTGCTGGTGAAACATGATTTCCCTCAAGTTCAGAGTCTTCCCGAGGTAGTTGTATGTACTTTACTAAAAGGAGAACTGAACCGTGCAGTGCTCTCCAGAGGAGCTAAACATAAGTTGCAGTGCTAAATACTGAACTCTTCTCTCCCACTCTTTCTTGCTGGGAGTGGATAAATGGTAGTGTGAAGTGAAACAGAGATCTTGGTCCACGTCGAATTGGAGGAGTGCTGGGGATCAGCAGACTGTTTACATTCCTTGTGCAGCTCATTTTGCCTTGTGTCGAGCATCCTTCTGACTGAACAGTAGCTCCAAGGCTGTGCAGGAGGAGTGACTGGCAGTCACAGAGCACGGTACATTTGGAGCTGTTACAGCCTGTACGTTCAGGTCCCGTGTGAGCTGAAGGTTGGAGAACAGTGGCAGTGAAAAAAAGATACCCTGGTCTTGTTGGGGTAGAAGGAACTTGAGTCTGTTTAGCTACATTTAATACAATCGAACAGTAGTTTCTAGAGGTGAGCTCTCACTATGCCTTCACAAATTCATAAAGTACTTGCACCTTGCTCATTCTTCCCCCGAGGATATTGAAGTTCAATCCCATAACACGGGAGGGGAGTAAGACAAGGCTTTAGTTTTTATCTGTCTGGTGGCTGCCCAGCTGCAGCGGTGCAGACTCTGCCAAGCCCGCTACAGTGAATTACTAGTGCACACTACTTAAGCTAATGTGATTAAATCAGGTTCTTAACTCCAGTGCTTCTATTGGAGCAGTGAATTATAAATTATTTACCAGATTGAACTCTTGCGAGGGGATTGTAATTTACAGTGGAAGTGCTGTAAAAGACCAAATATGCTGGGACATAGGCTGGGAGCAATACTACTGGAATTCAGTGTACAAAGTGTTCCTGATCTAAAATTAAAACTTTTCCTTTACTTAGTCATTGGTTTTCTCTTAAAAGCGTCTCTTTGTGCCCTAAGCTTTTTTCAGTTCTTGCTAGTCAAAATCTCTGCTTGTCTACAGAGAAGACTGTTGTTTGTGCAGTCTCAGGTTCCAAAGTTGGGGCCTTCATCCCTTAGATGGGGAGGCACACGTTCTGCTTTCTGTTCAATAACTGATCCAGGCTCTTGAGCACAGCCAACTACTGTGAGAAAACTTGTGTGCATGACATGCTCTCCATACCTAAGTGTTGTGCATCTTGGTGAAGCACGGAGAGGCTGAAGTATTGTGGTTTTAGACATAGAGGATGTAGATTTAGTCCCATCATTTTCAAGGCAAAACCGGTTTCTATTTGGATAGTCTGACTTGTCTTATTAAGAATTACTCTCTGCTGTGCAATGGGCATGAGAAAGCTGAATGGCTTTTATGAATTTGCTTTAGATAGACATGTGGACTTAAAAAGCACTCAGGATGTTTGCAAGCTGTAAGTGACTCTTTAGACTTGTATTGAAAAGGTAGGGCTCACTATTGTGACTTGATTCAGCTTATTTGTGCACTGGATTCAGAAGTGCCTTGCACATGGTGGGGAGACTCATTGACAGACATACAGGAACAGTGCATTCTTGGTTTGTAGTATGTTTAAGAAGTGCTTACAGAGCTTTTAGCAGGCAGTTTTTATTGGGATATGTATAGCCTCTGCCCAAGCCCTACTCTTTTCTAATGGCCTTAAACAATTGTTGATCACCTCTAACAAGCATTTCTGCTAGAGCTGTGTGGCATAAAGCTGAAACGGGATATTTAATGAACTCCAGAGAGATATTAAATTCATAGAGTCCTTCTGACTCCTGCATTTAACTGATTGTAGATCCTAATTATTGGAGTGGCAGTATTAGACAGTATGTTAGGCTTAAATATTCCCATTAGACAAATGGACTTGGTTTGTAGACTAGTAGTATTAGTATCTGCGTTGGTCTGTCCTGGCTCAGTCTGGAATTCTTGTGTTAAAAGAAAAAAACCCACAAACATTTTGACTCCATTTCTTAGCAAATGGTACAATGCTGGTAAAAAAAAAGAATAGAGAAAGACTAAACATGGGATTAATAATTGCATTTCATCCTAAGAAT